CCCAGGACCAGCACAAAAAAGGGGGGGGGTGAAAAATGTGGTTTTCATTTCCTTGATGGCTAATGATGTTAAAATACTTTTAATGTGCTAGTTGACTATTTGTATATCTTATTTGAAAAATGTTACAGATACATGGCTTTATTTCTGGACTCTAGTTTGTGCCATTGAGCTAAGTGCCTATCCTTGAATCAGTACTCGCTTGATTACTATGTTTTCCTAAACCCTGAAATCAAGTAGTGTATCTTCTAACTTTGTTCTACACTATCAAAACTGTCTTTTCTATTTCCTTAGTTTACCAGTCTATACAAATTTTAGAATTTGCTTTGTTGCCACCAAAAATATCTGCTAGGATTTTTATTGAATTTTCAATAAGAATACAGATCAGTTTAAGAAAAACTGAAATCTTATGAATATTCATTCTGTCATTCCATGAACATAGTACATTTCCGCATTTATTTGTCTTCTTTTATTTTTTTCATTACTTTTTTTTTAGTGCCATCTAGCACAGTTTGTTAGATTTCTACCTAAGTGTTTCATCCCCACCCCAACCCCCCACACAGGGTCTTACACTGTAGCTCGGGCTGGCCCTGACCTCCCTATGTAGCCTAGGCTGGACTTGAACTCACAGCAATCCTCCTGACTCAGCTTCTCAAATACTGGGATTTAAGATGTGGGCCACCTATTCTGGCTCTTTAGTATGGTTTTTATTTCAGATTTTTTATTGTTAGTATATAGATATAAGATTGATGTTTACATCTTAACATATCTTACAAATTTGCAAAACTCATTATTTCCAGGATATTTATGCTTATTTCGTTTTGTATTTTAACAAATAAAATCATGTCTGCAAATAGAGATCATTTTATATTTTCCTTTCAACTCTGTTTATGTCTTTTTCTTTTTTTTTGCATGGGGGGGGTACCAGGGATCAAATTCAGGTCCTTGTTCTTGTGAGGCAGACAGCAGAACCATTAAGCTAAATCCTTGACCCTGTTTATGTCTTTTTCCTGCTTTACTGCACTGCCTAGGACAATGGTGCTGAACCTATGGCATGTGTGCCACAGCAGGCTATTTGTATCATTAAAAGCTCTAAAAGGTTCACCATCACTGGCCTAGGATTTTGAGAGTAGACATCTCTATCCTGATCTTAGGTGTTTCACTCTTGAGATGTTAGCTGTTGAGTTTTAACAAGTAATTTTTATCAGAATGAGAAAGCTTCTTTGATTCCTAACTTTCTGAGAGTGGAAAAGCCCAGCATATTAGTATAAACTCTACAGGAATGATGTACCCCAAAATATAAAATACATACATATAAGAATTTGTCTATTTTCCTAATCAAGGGACAAGAGGGAAAAAAAAAAAAACCTGAAAAAGATATCCACCTCTAAGACAAAGCTGGCATGCATGAGTAAACACACTTCAAAAACGGAACCTCTTAAAAGGTTAAATGATTTGTCCAAGCAACATACCAAGTTAGCACTACAAATTGAACTTTAATCTTGTTCTCTGAGTTTCAGCAGAAACTTTTCCTGCCTAAATCACTCTCTCTTTTCAAATGTCTTATCAAACTGAATTTTTTTGGTCAATGAGAGTGAGTTATCAAGAAAATTAGTTTCACAATACAGATTTATAGCATATCTTAATGTCTTCTTGGTGATTAATTTAAATTGAGGTGCAAGGTATTATTTTTCAGTATTGCTCTACTTTGCTATTCTGGAAGGAATGTGTATTAGACCATACAAACTAAACATCCAATTCTCAGTATTAACATCCAATAAGAAAAAAGCCCTTGGTTTCTGAAGCAGTTATCATAGAATACACTCTTACTCCTGAGTACAGAATTAGGAAAAAATAAATCCTGGCCACAGAGCAGAGCTGTCAAAACAAACAGCTGCTTATCTATATAATGTGTTCAGGTCCTATAAATTCCTCAGCTTCCCCAACAAATAACTTAAAGCAAGGAGGGAGTAAAACATACAGCATAAGAAGCCAAGCTATGGTATCAAAACTGCCATAGTGTCTACCTATTACCAATCATATCCATAGGGTCAAACCATTAAAGAATCCCTTCAGACCAAAGGTAAAGGAGATTAGGAGGGTGTTATGGTTTAAATCTAGATGTTGCTTCAAAGCCTCATGCACTCACAGGTGGTGGTGGGGCTTTTGGGAGATGATTAGATCATAGGCCTGTGATAATCACTAGTAGATTAATCCACTGATGAGTTTATGGCTGACTTACTGTTAGGAAATGGGATCTCGCCAGAAGAGGTAGGTCACTGTTAGCGTGGCCTGGTAGGGTTTATCTTCCCTGCACCTCCACTGGCTGGCTCTTTGCTTCCTCACTGTCATGCTGTGAGCAGCCCTCTTCCACTATGCCTGTCTGCCAGGCTGTCCTGCCTTGCAGCCAGAGGACTATGGACTGAATCTCTACAAAATGTAAGTCAAAACAAATCTCTTTTTCTTTAAATTGCAGGGGTCAGGAATTATGTCTCAGTAATAACACAGTGACTAAGACAAAGGGTAAGCTGTTGGTTCTGCTTTTTCTTGATTATTATCCCTGCCTAAAAAGCACTAACGTTAATAATGTCTGATTCAACTGATCCAGATAAATGAGTGAATGAAAATTAGGATAAGCTAATTCCTTTGTACAATTATTTGCCTACTGCCTCTTAACTGCTTTTCTATTTTCTATTCAATGATGCAAGGCCTAAGAATCTGTATACTAAACAGACTGTACTGCCAAGCTGACTTCAGGTTAGGGTCTCCAAATGATAACAGTTGAACAGTCATGTACAGATCAAAGGTAGAAGAAGGGAAAATGGGAATGCATTCCCAGAACGCTACACTACAATCCTTGAGAAGTACAACACCAATCAGGCTTTCCCAGAAGCATCAGCACTCACTATTAGGTCAGAGATCAGGGTATCTCTTCCAAACTAAAGAACTAATCAGTGTCCCCTCTCCAGATAGTTCTTTCTCAATCTTAACAGATCTGAGTATCCTCTTAGTCTAACCAACAAGTTGTGCAATCCTCTTTAGAAGTCCCTGTAATAGCTCCTTGATCTTCTATGAGCTCCTAGATTCTGGTTGAAATACCTCTCCCATTTCATTTCTTCAGTCCTTCACAGGCAACAGCTGCTTTCTACTTCTTCAGTTATTTTACTGTCTTCTTTCTGTCCTTCCAGCCTTATAACACTATAAACTACTACTCTGCATTAAAACCTCTTTGAAAACCCTACCATGATTTCTGTTTTCCAGCCTAGATTTATTTATATTACTAGTTAGTCTTTGATTGGTTAGTTTTCCTTTTGATTGGTATAGTCATTTCTTTTGAACTAGGTTTGTTTCAACTTTTAACAGGTAGGAGATAATGTATAGAAAATGACAACAGTGTAAACGTTTTCTATCCACAGCTATGCAAATAATTCCTATTCATGAAGGTGCAAGTGAACAATCAGTTGAAGTACATAAGTCTGTAAATCAAACCTCATTTTTACTGGTAGTAATATCTTTCTGGTTCTTCATTAATGAATTAAACATATCCTTTGAAATGTATTCACTTTATATTTGTATGAGTATAGATAATAAAATATAATTTTCTCTTTAATAAAGAAATGCAATTGACACTTCCTTCCTCTCAAGATTATTTCCTTAAAAATAATAAGATCAACACTTTGGTCAAATTTTTGTTTGTGTGTTTGTTTGTTTTTTGGTACCAGGGTTCGAACTTGAGACCTTGTGGTTGCACAGCAAGCAGCAGAACCACTGAGCTAAATCCCCAGCCCCTGGTCAAAATTAATAAAACCAGTTTCTAGACTTTACAATAAGAAATGAAATAAATACCTGGGAACTGTTAATACATATTCTATTTTCTAAATTATAACTAAGGACTCTCTTAGGGTATACCTAGAAAACTACCACAAACTACCATCTCTATAGACATTTTTTTTTCATACCAGGGATTGAACTCAGGCCCTTCTTCTTGCAAGGTAGGCGGCAGAACCACTGAGCCAAACCCCAGCCCCTCTATAGAAGATTTTTTAAAGTTTTCATTATTCTGACTTCTATCTTACTGTACAAATGCACAAAATTAGGAGCCAGGGATTTAGCTCAGTGGTTCTGCCACCTGACTTGCAAGTGCAAGGTACCGAGTTTGATCCCTGGTACCAAAAAAAAAAAAAAAAAAAAAAAAAAAAAAAAGAAAAAATTCTACCCAGAACATGGAGTCTCTCTCCTAGACTATCTACATGCATGTAATCTGATATGTGTAGCCAATAATATATCATGTCTTCTGCTTGACTGGTATTTTTTCTAACTTCTCCAACATGAAATCATGATTATCTTTTTAAGAACTTATATATCATAAATATAAATAGCATTTCTTTTAATAATTATAAACAGTACACCTTTTTATAGTTCCAAGTAAAATATTTCTAAAATGTAAAATACTTTTAAATAGAAAGAATAAAACAGATGTTACACTTTATAATTAGTGGCAAAATGAGTAACTTTAAACTCTACAGCCCCTTTTAGGGACAATAAATATGGTAAAAAAAAAGAAATGTAACCCTTTAACGATAGATATTTAGGTATGTTTGTGATGCAGCACAAGACTGACAACTCTTAATATTATATCTGAATAGAATAATAAGGCAAACATATTTTCTGAAAGCAAGTTAAGACCTAGTAAGACAAAGAGTAACTATTAATTATACTGCAATTATTATATTTTATCAATTTTAGTTTATTAGTAGATGCATGTAGATCCTTAGTTTACTAGTAGACCCATAATGTTTACATTCCTTGTAAGAATTGATACATGTATAACAAATCTTAACACGTTTTTTCATCTTTTTACCTTTCCTGTCTCCCCCATTCACTCATCCCTTAAGTTCGTTTTTATATTATTTCTTTTAACTATTATTTTAAAATGCAAATTTTAACATAACAAAGTAACAACTATGTAAATATAAAGTTTTTAATAAGAAAAAAAATCTTACCATCTTCCTAGCAATTCTCCCCAAGAATATAGGATTTTCTCAGGACAATCTTTAGACACATCACCTGTTCCACTGGAGAGTTCATTATCACTCTCTGTAGAAGAAACAAAAAACAAAACCAACACATTAGGTTTTATAGTAGGCATTTACATATTATAAAACAAGAAACCTGACTGACTATATGTCTAATAAAAAGTCAAAGAAACTTTCTCTCTCTCTCTCTCCAAATTTATTTATTATTTATTTACTTACTTATTTATTTATTAATATGGGGGGGTCAAACTCGGGACCTTGCACTTGTGAGGCAGGGGACACAACTACTGAGCTAAATCCCTGGCCCTCTCTGTATTATACACATTGCAAAAGTAACAGTGAAACTTTAATTTATCATTATTTCATTAACTTATTAGTGCCTCAATAAATATTTAAAAGAATTTTATGAAAATTCTCCTCCAGTTTATACAGTATGAAACTGAAAATGTCCACAATAAAAATCCAAAGAAAGAAACATTTAAAAGTTTGTGATGTTATGCCAGGGATTTAGCTCAGTGGTTCTGCCACCTGCTTCAAAAGCACAAAGTCCCAAGTTCGATCCCCAGTACCAAAAACAAAAGCTTATGACATTAGCAAGATGGCTGAGTAGGGAGTCTTAGGCCCTTTTCCTCCCCACAGAAAGTTCAACTAGAACTATCCAGAGACCAGAACATTCTTTGGAAAATCCCTAGCACCTGATGACAAGCCTGAGGCACCCAAGTACTATGCAACATTGAACAAACTCCAAATCGCATCAGATAGAAAGAAATATCAATACAATGTTCAGTAAATTTCTCAGCAGAAACCCTACAAGTAAAAAAAAAAAGCATGGTCCACCACCCGCCTCGCAAGTGGCAAGGATCTGAGTTTGATCCCTGGTACCAAGGGAAAAAAAAAAAGAAATGCTGAAGAAAGTTTTCAAACTAAAAAAAAAGGATGCTAATGAATAACACAAAAGCATTTGAAAGTATAAAACTTACTAGTAAACTTAAGGACAGTCTAATTCAGAATACTGTAATACTGTAATAATAGTGTATAAGTCATTTGTGTCTTTAAAGTTAAAGACAAAATTATTAAAAGTAACAACTAACTCAATCTGTTAAAAATTCATAATGAGGACAGCCTTAAAATGTCCAGTAGTTTTTCCTGTTATCCTAAAAGTTAAGTTGTTACAGTTTAAAATAACCCATTATACCAATGATTTTTATAAGTCTCACTGTAACCACAAAGCAAAAATATATAGTAGATACACTATAAACAAAGAACAAGGAATAAAAACATACTAGAGAAAACCACCTGACTACACAGGAAGATACTAAGAGATGAACAAAAGAAAGTATCTGCAAAACAATTAACAAAATGTTAAGTCCTTAAACATCAATAATTACCTTAAGGGGCCGGGGATTTAGCTTAGCAGTTCAGTGGCCTGCCTTGCAAGCGCAAGGACCTGAGCTCAATCCCCAGTACCCAAAAAAAAAAAAAAAAAAAAAAAAAAAAAACAAAACTTAAATGTAAATAGATTAAACTCTGCAATTAAAAGATAATGATTGAATGGTTTAAAAGAATAAAACTCAACTATATGCTGCCAATAAGATTCACTTCACTCATAAGAAAATATATAGACTGGGCTGGGGATTTAGCTCAGTGGTTTGGTGGCCTGCCTTGCAAGCACAAGGACCCGAGTTCAATCCCCACTACCAAAACAAAGAAAATATATAGACTGAAAATGAATGGCTGCAAAAAGATATTCCACACAAATGGAAATAAAAACAAATCAAGTATAGCTGAATTTATGTCAGAAGCAGTAGAAATTAAATTAGAAACCATAAAATGATTAAATTAAAAACTGTAAAATGAGATAAATAAGGTTATTACAAATGATAAAAAGGTTAATTCAGAACGAGTATGCAATAACAACAAATACATATTTTCCCAACATTGATGTACAAAATATATGAAGTAAATTTTAAAAGACTGAAAGAAGAATTGACTGCCATAAAATAATAGAAGGGGTGTTCAATATGCAACTCTCACTACTTACAATAAGGGACAGATCATCCAGTTAAAAAAATTAACCAGGAAACATTGAATTTTATATGGACCTAAGAGACACTCTCCGTTCAACAGCTGAAGAATACAAATTATTTTAATTGCACATGAACATTCTCCAGGAAAGATCATATGTTAGGCCCCTAAACAAAATTTAACAAATTTAAGATCACAATGACAGCCTATATGATCTGATCCCAACTTTATAAAACTAGAAATTAATAGCTAGAGGTACTCTAAAAAATATATGGAAATAAATACATCCCTAAACAATCAACAGGTCAATGAAGAAATTAAAAGGGAAACTTAAAAAGGTCCTTGATCAAAAGAAAATGGAAACACAACATACATAAACCTACATACAGCAAAAGATGTTCTAGGAAGGAATAAATGTCTCTTTCAAAAAGACATATTTCAAAAACCCTAATACTAAACTTCAAGGAACTAAAAATGAAGAACAAATGAAATTCCATGTAAATATAGGGGACAAAATAATAAACATCAGAACAAAAATAATTGAAATAGAGATTTTTAAAAAAACAACAGAAAAGATCAACAACACTTAAGAGCTGGTTTTCCTAAATCAGACTAAGAAAAAAGACAGAAGACTCATAAAATGTAATGAGAGATAAAAAAACGAAACATTACAATTGATACATTAGAAATATAAAAAAACATAAATTCTTAGAAATTATATACAAAGAAATTGGATAACCTGGAATAAATATGTAAATTTATTGGCAACTTCAACCAAAGACTGAATCTTAAATAGAAAATGAGAACAGAAAAATAATGAGGAATGAGACTGAATCCATAATAAGTCTCCCATCAAAGAAAATCTCAAGACCTGGTGGATTTCCTTCTGAACTCTACCAAATATTTAGAAAAGAACTTCTACCAGTTCTACTCACACTATTTACAAAAAATGAAAAGGAGGAAATATATTCAAATTCATTACATGAATTCTAATACCACTAGCATTAGCCTAATACCAAAATAACTCAACAACATTACATCCTTTATGCAAAAACCCCCCAAAAATACTAGTAAACCAAATTCAATTGCTTATTAAAACAGATCATTCATAATATCAAGTATGATTCATCACAGAAATACAAGAATGGTTCATCATATGAAAATCAACAACATGACACAATCACAATGACAGATTAAAGACAAAAACAAAATAATCATTTCAACAAATGCAGAAAAAGAGCTTGACAAAATTCAGTATCCTTGTATGTTAAGAACGTTCAACGTGTTAAGTATAAAAGAAATGTACCACAACACCAATACACAGCTAACATACTCCATGGATTAAAGTTTAAAGCTTTTCCTCTAAGTACTGGAAGGATGCCTACATTTACCTCTTTTGTTCAATAAAGTACTAAAAGTCAGAGCCAGAAAACCAGGCAAGAGAATTACATAAAAGGCACATAAAAGCCAGCATGGCAGCATGCACAGCAGGATGCACCAGTAGTCACAGCTATTCAGGAGGCTAAGGCTGAGGCAAGAGGATCTTGTCCTATGTTTTTAAAAGGTATACAAATGAAAAGAGAAAAAGTTAAATTGTTCCTGAGTGCAGACTACACGATTTTAAAAATAGGAAACTCTTGGGGCCGGGATTTAGCGCAGTGGTTTGGTGGCCTGCCTTGCAAGCGCAAGGACCCGAGTTCAATCCCCAGTACCAAAAAAAAAAAAAAGGAAATTCTAAAAATCTGTTACAATTACTAAACTAGGAAGAGTTTACACGATACAAAATCAACCAAAAAAGGTCTGGCATTTCTATCCACTAATACTATTTAAATAAAAATCAGGAACATAATACCATTTATAATACTACAAAAAAAGTAAATACTCAGGAAAAAACCAAGGAGCTAAACATCTGCACACTTAAAACTATAAAACATTGATGAAATAAATTGAATAAGGCACAAATAAAGATATTCTATACTCATGAACTGGAGGAACTAATATTGTTAAAATGCTCATACTGTTAAAGCCAATACACAGATTCACTGCAATGATTATTAAAAAAAATCAATAACATTCTTTACAGGAAAAAAAACTGCTAAATTCATGTGCAACCACAAATAACCAAAGTAATCTTTAACAAAAAGAACAAAGTTTTACTGTACATTACTTTACTGCAAAATATGGTACAAAGCTATAGTTACCCAAACAGCACAGTACTGACTAAGTTTCTGGGAGAACTTAGAAATAAATTCATGAACTTACAATCAAGCTGATTTTCAACATGTAGAGAACTGAAAAATAGAAAAGATAGTATCTACAATAAATGTTGCTGAGAACACTGGATATCCACATGCAAAAGAATGAAATTAGAACTCTTCCTCTTACCAAACAAAAATCAACAAAAAATAGAGTAAAGACCTAGTTGTAAGACCTAAAAATGACACAAATACAAGAGGAAAATGGGGGAAATACTCGCTGACATTGGTTTGGGCAAGATTTTTGCATAAGATCCCAAAAGCGCAGGCAACACAAACAAAACATAAGTGAGACTACATAAAAGTAAAAAGGTTTTATGAAAACAATACAGTATAAAGACAACCTGCAGGAGTGGAAAAATATTTCATACTATGGAACTGACAGTTAATGTACTGACTATATAAGAAATTTAAACAGCAAAACTAAAACTGATAATAATAATCCAATTTTTAAATGCACAAAAGGCCCAAACAGGGCCGGGGATTTAGCTCAGTGGTTCGGTGGCCTGCCTTGCAAGCGCAAGGACCTGAGTTCAATACCCGGTACCAAAACAACAAAACAAAACAAAATGCCCAAACAGACATTTCTTGGGCTGGAGATTTTCCTCAGTGGTGCCTCCCACCTGCCTCACAAGCACAAGGTCCCAAGTTCAATCCCCAATACCAAAAAAATAAATAAATAAAAAAGACCTAAGACCTAAACAAACACTTCTCTCAAGAAGACATAACTGGTTTATGAAAAAATACTCAGTATTACTAATTTTCGAGGAAACACAAATTA